GGCCAAAGCAATCAGATGGTGTTTAGGAGCCTATTAGTCCAGCTCTTTGCTATTGCACTGTGTCACAGTGGTGAGTCCTTCAGTATCTGTCTCTTGCAAACCTGCCAGCATCTCAGTGCATGAAACGTCAGGAAAACATTTCTGGGGATGCTGCCAAAGGGAAGGGCTCTGTGTGCTTGGCCCTTTTCCCCCTGTCTGGATGGTGCTGTGTGGGATGGCTGCTGGAGATCAGCCCCAGTGACACACAGGGCTCTGTGAGCTTGGCCCTTTCCCCCCTCTGGATGGTGTTGTCTGGGATTGTTGCTGGAGATCAGCCCCAGTGACACACAGGGCTTGGTGCCAGCCAGGATGGAGGCACACATTGAGGGCAGATGGGTGTGTAGCAGCTTTTGTCTGTCTTCCTTCTGGGCTGCCACGCTCGTTACCCAACTGATCCAGCAACCACTTCACATATGAACTCTCAAAAGGAACTGTCAGACTGATAGCTTCAGTGAGGTCCCACTGACATTATACAGAAAATGCTTTGGAAAACATTTCAGAGCCCCAATGAGTTAAAAAGCAATTTATGTATTTCAAAACTTGCACTGAAGGGGAATATAATATTTTTATATTGTTCTGGTGAAAACGTATGCTTAAAGAAATGTTTCAACCTGAAACAGGCAGGAGGGAGAGCAGGTGGCAGCTTTGGGTGTCTGGGCACAGCTCCTCTTGGTGGTGGGAGCTCTTTTGCTGGCAGGTGAAGGGGCTGCTGCCTTGAGCTGCCCCAGAAGTGCTCCTGGTTCACTGTGGTTGGTCACAGTCAGGTTTGCTTGGTTTAAAATGTAGTTGTTCAAAGCTACAGTCAAATAGAAACCCTTCAATCAACTGATATTAGATTGCAAAAACCCAAAGTTTATAGAACCACAGAATAATTTATGATGGAAGGGTCTCTGGAGGTCACCTGATTCATTTTCCAGTCAAATTCGGAATACTGCCAAAGATGGATATTTCACAGTGCCTCAGGTCTTTTCCATTGCTTATCTTATTGTGAAATTTTATTTAAACCACAGCTGCATAACCACAAAAGTGCAACATTCCCGTATTTACCCATTCTAGTGCCCTTCTTTGTCAGGCAGAGCAGGAAAGCTAATAGGGAGTAAAAAGGAGCCTTGAAATGCAACTGTAACCTGGACTCAGGAGGGTATTAGAGCTTATATCAGTACAGATTATTTCTTATTTCATATAGTTCCCCAATAGGCTTTTGTATTTTCCTGTTTAAATTTCTGAATGGAATCTCGAATATCTGCATCAAGATTCCTAAATACTCCATGAAAAAAAAATCAAAATCCACTCTTTATTGGAAGGGAAAAAAGCAAGAATATTTTTGGGGAGGTCATATCTTGTACAAGAAAATATACAAAATCCTTTGAGGCTCTTGCTTGTGGGTGACTTTTTGTCTGTTTTGGCAGGTGGTCTTAACTTATTTTCCTATTTTTCTATTTAGTCCCTAAGGAAAGCTCACGGTCACTGTGATCCTGGACATTCTGTGCTTAATAGGTAGTGTAAAAAATCCTGATGAGAATGTAGAGTAACACCTCTGTAATCACTCATACAAAGGACACCTTTGTGAACTGCATTTCTGTGAGGACACAAAATTCAAAGGGGAGTTTGAACGTGCTTTTTGTGTTCAGAGGAGGAAAACCGCGCTCCTTGCAAGTATCGAATCCTGTCCTCTCACTGAGCTGCTCCTCAACACTTTGATGTTCAAGGGTTCTTCCTTCTTGCCCTGTCCGCATTGTCTGGTCTGCCTCCTGTCCCTGCCTGCCTGCTTTGGGCAGCAGCAAGGAGCAGTCCCAGGCTGTGCCTGCGTTCCCCTGATGAAGCGCCGTGCTCAGAAGCCAGCATTTGTGCCGCAGGTTTACGATCACTGCATCGATCGGTGTCTCCATTTAAATGATTTATCTTTGCTCTTGGCTTGCTGTGAGCTTTTCCATGAGCTGCAAGGAAAACTGATTTTATATATGTGTTTTTTAGCAAGTTACTCAGCTTGTTACTCAGGTTATCTGAAGGAAATGGGTTAAGAACTGGGAAGTAGCGTGGTGGATACCAGGGTATGTGCAGGGCCCGGAGCTGTCCTAAAGGATTGTGTGGTGGGTGTGGCTGAAGACCTCCCTCCCTCTGCCCTGTGGCACCAAAGCCACACCTGGCTCTGAGATCTGTGAGCAGGCTGCTGAGAACTATTCTGTTGGGAAGGATCAGTTGCCATAGGTTTTAGAAAGCATAGATCTTGGAGTATTTAGAAGTCTGTCATTGAATCAAAGCCCCAGGGAACAATCCATTTTTGGTATATCAAAATAAGTATATTTTGCTTATGTAATCAATCCAAGGATGATAAATACTTTGTCATCCATTCCAGGCAATTTACTTCATTGATTGGCATCAAATAGACATTGTATGGTCAATATAATTTTCATACCTCACCTTTAGCTGCAGTTTCGCCTACTTTTTAAAAATTTATTAAAAGCTATGGTTCAGTTTTCCTTTTTATTTGAACTCAGAAGCCTGATTTTGTTTTCTTCTCCTGATTAAAAAGTATGTTGTCAAGACTAACCTGGAGTTACGTAAATCAATAATGCTACACAGAAAAGGAGAACAAATTGTACCTCTCATTTGCATAATGGACAAGATCTAAAATGAATTCCTCAGGTTAATGAGTGTCCTCAGGGTTGTTTGTGAGAATGTACAGCCTTCTGTGACATCAGTGTGTTACTGATTGAAAACTACTGCTCAGAGTCAAAGAAAAGAAGTGAAAAAAATCAGGAGCAATCAGGTTGGGGGACTCCATACTAAGCTTTTAGCTTTAGTGCATTGATTTTTGGATGCCTGCATTGAGCTTCACTATAAGCTGAGGATACAAATTCAGATTTACCCTTGCTTTGAGGTTCAAACTCAGCCTAATCTCACCTGGGGGTTTGGCTAAAATGCAGCTGAGTCCCCAGGTTTCTGTCACACTGACATAAGGTTATCTTTGTCTTTCTCAGAAAGAGAACAGTGCTCCCCAGAGGGACAGGAACATGAACACCTTGTGCAGGGTTATAAGGCTTGGTTAACTCAGAAAAGTCTGAATCTTAGATGAGACAATCACAGGGCCAAAAATTGCTAGAAGCAGGCAGTTACAACAGCATTAAAATGTCTCATATTTCCTATTCTGTTTCTGCTCCATTACCTTTATCCTCTTATTCCAGGCAGTTAGCCTCCTCTTGCTCCTATTAGCTTGCTGTGAAATGGTAACATGGCTGGAGGAGCACAGGATACTGCCACAGGTGGCCATTCCTGCATGGAGAGGAAAAAGGATAGGAGGAACCTTGCTTTGGCTGGAGTGCTCTGCAAATGGAATTGCTTTTGGAAGCTTGCAGTGTGACTGCAGTTAGATGTACATTTACATAGATGGCAAGAGGGGATTCAAGGCAGAAGGGAGGGCCTATTACCTCCCCACCCAGTGTAACATTTTTATTTCAAACAAGAGGAAGCTGGTGCTACTCAAAGTTCAATTGAGAATAACCAAAACAAGTGTTTTGTTCTTGAGTGTTGTATTCTTACTGATAATGAACTGTAGTAAATGAATTTTACCTTAACTATGCACCATGGAAAGGTCATGAACTACTGGAGAAGGGCTTCTACAAAAATTAAATTACACATTAGTACAGTTCATGTAATGTGAGAGAATTGACTGTACAGATCAACCACTGCACAATAACTCTTGCTTTTGTCCCTGTTTAATGTGTACCTTGAATATTGCACTATAAGAGATGATCTCCTTTAGAGGGTTGTTCTGAAGAAGGGAGAGTTCAATGGTCAAGTGAAGAAGGTGTTTTCCAATTTACAGTACAGTGACATGTGGAGATTGGGGCCGCTCTGGCTTCTTTGTGCTTGAGGACTCGAGCTGGAAAGGCACCTGTTTGCAGGAGGACTGCTGCAGCCTGGTCCCTGTCACTGGTGCCCTGACAACACATCTCACCCAGGCAGCAAGTCCCTGGGAGTTCACAACCACACAGGCTTTTTCATCTGCTGAAACATTTCCTTGTTGGGAAATAGGACTTGCTGTACTGGGAGTCAGCAGGTGCATCGTGCTGGTTTATGGGGTCTACTCTGTTTTTCTGTACAGGCAGAATTTTAGGAAAACGTGTTTTTTCATATGTAAAGAATATTTGTTTATTGAATTTACTGTACACACACACACAGAATTACATCTTTAGGTTTCTTTTATGATTTTTATACGGCCTTTTTTGCTGTGTAACACTTTTCTTCCAATTCTGTTGCATCTTGCCTATGATCTATAAAGCTAAGCATTATGAAAAATTCCCAGGGATTTGTAGACTTCTGAAAATTGAATCCTACTGTAGAAACTTAGTGAATTGAATTGCCCCAATGCCTGTGGTTTTGAGAATTTTCAAGCCTTCCACTTAGAGGAAAAAAAAGAAGACATTAAGTAAGGAGAATTGTGCAAGCTGAATCCAGCAGAGCTGCTGTGCTTTACCTATCATTCTTCAAAAGGTGTTTGATCCTTAGATAAAACATTTGTTAATACTTTCAAGATTTCAGCATAACATCTTTAAAGATTTTCTCTTTTTCTACAGTAAAAACCTAATAATAAGTCATAATTTTACTTAAGTGTTAAACTTCTTTCAATATCTGGAACTATTCACCCTAGGCATTCAATAACAACAGTGTAGCAGAAATCCTGAATCAGGAAGTAAGAGGATGAAATAAGGCTGGGGTAAATGAGTTGAAGGTTTAGAATAATTTCAGATTGATTTAACTCTCTGACTGTCTGCTAGTAACATGAAAAAGATAATCTTTTTATGTCATTGATAGGCAAATTTTGGGAAATGCTGAATGCAGGGCACAGAAAGTAATTAGAAAAAGAATTAAAAGATGAAAATGTTCTTTCAGATATAAAATCATGTTATTGGATAAACTAAGGTTCTGGAAGCCTTATTCTCTCTCTCTTTTTTAATCAGTTTGCAGGAAATGGAGCAAAGCAAAGCAAACAGAAAAGAGTGGCAGGGTGTTAATTGCAACCTGCCATAATTAAAGTGAAGCATAGTCAAGGAACAGATATCCTCCCAGCTTTCAGCATAAAAATGATAATGGGCAGCATCTCTGGACGCTTAGCACTGTTTTGATAACCCTGGGAAGCTGCAGCAGGGAGAGCCTCAGTGACACACAAGTCTGTGTCTGAGAGCACACATTATCAGGTGGGGAGTTTCATAAAACTGATTTTTTTAATTGATCTTTTTTTTTCCCTATCTCTGCCTTGGTGTCTGGGCTGTTGATGGGTAGGAAATGGAAAGGATGAGCTCCTTTGGTGATAAAAAGCGTGGGCGAGCAAGCGCGGCAGTTGCAGGGTAATGGCAACAGTGCCTTGTGTCAGTCACAGATGAGTACTGAGAGATTAAATAGATTAAATGAAAATAAATGTAAGCTAATTGAATTCAGTGATATAGGAGAAGAAATCAGAGGAGTATAAAATTAGGCCTAAGATGGGCATTATTATTTTACTTTTTGTCAGCTCTCTTTTTGGCTTTCCAGAGTCAGTAGCTTTTTGAGTCAGAAGTGCAAACAAAACAACAATATACTCTGAAAGAAAATGAACTGTTTACCTGTTTTACAGGTTTTAGTTTTTTTCTTACAACAAAACAGTTTTGCAGAATATTTGCATTGTTTCAAAAAGATTATACTTTGACACCATCTTAGATTGAAGTTACTTGGATTTTCTCCATGTTTTTAGGTAAAATGACCTAAAATTTGAGTTAAAAGTATCTCTTTTTGAGTTAAAATGTTCAGAAGTGTGATGAACTGTGACAAAATGATTGTGATTCATTTTCTAGATTTTGTTGTGACTCACAGAGGTAGTGGTTAAACTCCTCTTCTCCTGGCACGACCTCCCCACTTCAAGAATGTTTTTTTATGGAAGAATATAAATTTGTGAACTCATGAGTTTATATCCAGTCAGCAAGATGGACCACTAAACTTGAGAACACTACAAAAAATACAATAGACATGAAAGCCTGAAGAGCATAATGAGGAGAAGGAAAGTTTTAAAATAATCAGAGCAAATTGAAAGCCAAGCAGTAAGTATGTGTTGTGTTTTTCTGGGCCTTATATTTGAGAGAAGAACTGTGAACTGGAAACAGAGGATGAAGGGTTTGATTTGAATATGAATGTCTGTCAGGGTCTTAGCAGCATGAAAAGGATAATTTTAGCAGCAGCTTTTGAATAGGGTGGTTGGGTACAAGCTGAGATGTAAGTAGGCTACACAGGCTATAGCTAAGATCAAGGATGAGGTAAGGAAAAACCACGAAAAACAGATAAAATTCACCTGTGTGCAAAAAAAGTCTTGCAGAAGCATGCATGACTTTCACTGATACCTGGTTTGTAAATTTTGTTGGAATACCAAGGGTTTGGTTGGCAAACAGAGATTTCCCTCAGGCAGGCAGGCTATATTTTATGGTATCCATTTACAGGCACAGTACCTGAGGGGGTTTTGTGAGCATCTGAAACATAGGAGAGGCTATTAGGGTTGGGGTTCAGTTGAGACCTCGCACCAGATGAGGGAATTTGTAGTAAAGATGAACTTTACTACATGGAGTCAGAGGTTATGGCAGGGTACCCAAGAGAAGGGGAAGATAGAGGCAACATTGTCTAGATTCAATGACAGGCTTAAAAGATTTTTTCACACCTGAAAGCTTGTGCTGTAGAAGTAAAATATCAAAACAAATGCAATGATTAAAGAGCAAACCAAAACAATATGAATTGTCTAGCACTTTTTCCTCTTTTCTAACAAATGCTTTTTGAATTCCTTAGTGATGAATTTTTTTCAGAGGAAAATACCATACAATTAAAGTTTAGTAGGCATAGATGAACATTGAAAAAGGCATGCACTGCAAAAGAATTCAATAATGTTTACAGCCAGTCCATTTGCCAGATAAAATACTTTTCTCTACTGCTTCAAAATTTTCTGTGAGAGGCACTTCACTTTTCTTGGTACATAGAAATGTTTATTATCTTTGATTTGAAAACAAACAAACAAAAGCCTTTTTCTTATTCGCATTCAGGTCTCACTTTCATCACAGGATATTTGAAAATCTGGCATTGGCTTTAGCAGAGGAAGGAATGGGCTCTTTTCAACTTCAGTTGGATCACTTGCAAGTTTCATGGTTGATATAGCTATTTCCAGGACCTGAGGCCTTGCTTTACAGGTAATGGAATACATAAACTCCCACCATATGTCATAGAATGATTTTCATATTATTAATGAAGTAACCATGGATAATTGAGGTTTTTTTGACTGATTAGACTCGGGTATTAAGCTGATCCAAAATGAGAGAGGCTAGGTTCATTTATACTGTAATGAAGTGAAATTAACATTTTTGATTTAGGACTGTATGCTGTGTATTTGAGAACATTCCCTGTAAATATCAGTGACCGTAAAGGGTTCTTTTTCTCACCTCTTCATTATTCCAGCCAATGTTGCTTATTTTTTCCATGCTCTTAGAAGTTGAATATATTCAGTGTTCCTCTACCTTGTAATATTACTTAATTGTCTATGATGCCATTCATTTATCACATGTTTATGATCTCATAAAATGGTTTAGGTTGGAAGGGACCATAAAGATCATCTGGTTTCAGTCTCCCTGCCATGGGCAGGGGCATCTTCCACTAGACCAGGTTGTTCAGACCTACATCCAACCTGGCCTTGAACACTGCCGGGGTTGGGAAAGCCACAGCTTCTCTGGGCAACTTGTTCCTGCCTCAACACCCTCACAATAAAGAATTTCTTCCTAATATCTACTATAAATCTGCCCTCTTTCAGTTTAAAGCCATTTCCCCTGGTTCTATTAATACACATCCTTGTAAAACGTCCCTGTAGTCGGCACCCTCCAGGTACTGGAAGGTGATCTAAGGTCCTTTCTCTTCCCCAGACTGTTTTTGTAGGAGAGGTGCTCCAGCCCTCAGATCATCCCTGTGTTCTCCTCTGCACTTGCCACAACAGGTCCATGTTCTTCTCTACCCTGGGGACACCAGAGCTGCACACAGCACTGCAGGCTGGGTCTCACCAGAGCAGAGGGGCAGAGTCCCCTCCCTGCCCTGCTGCCTGGCCTGCTTTGGGTGCAGCCCAGGGTGCAGTTGGCTCTCTGGGCTTCAAGCTCACATTGCTGGGTCATGCTCAGCATCTCAGCCCCAGGTTGTCCTCCCCAGGGAGAAATGTGAAATGTCCACTAATTCAAATACACCGAGGCAACAGATTGCATTCTTCAAGTTAGATGTACTAAGTGTAAAGTAAAATAGATGGGAAGATAATTTAGAATCAGCAGTCATATTAGAATGTACCGCCAATGAATATGCTTGAAACTCAGTAGAACACTGTTACATTTTTCCCCACTAAAAATAATGATATCTGCTTTGAAATTTCTGGCTCAAATTAAATTTCAGTAAATAACCATGGAACAGAAAATGAGTCTAGCTTGCAACTTTCCTCCCCCATTATTCTTCAAATGGCACAAATAAATTTTTCATTCAGAATTTTGGTAATTTTTAGGATCAGAAATTTGGAGAGCTTTCACTGATGAACAAATATGTGAGCTATTTCAAAACCTGAAAATGTGTTTGTAAGTTCTGTAAATAGGAACAATTGAATGCTGAGCTCTAAGAAAAATCTGGCCAGGATTTTATGTGCCAATTATTCAAGAATCTTTCCCTTAAAGTGTAAAAATATAGCCTTATCAAAGCCAAAAAATTTGAAAATTATTGAGAATATTCTCCCCTCCCCCTTCATATTTCTATCTTCCAGTCTGAGGCATCCAAAACCACAAGCAAGGCAAATCACCATTTCTTGAAATATTTTTACGTGGCATGTTGTGATGGGGCTACTGTCATGTCCTACAATCAACTAGCTGTGGAACTTCCAAAATCTCACCTCATCTCAAATGGCTATTAAAATATATTAAAAATTTTAAATTTAATATCAAAGCCTTGGAGAAACAGAGTTATCCCATACAGATGCAGGTTTGAGGTTTCTTTATCCTTGAGGTGGCTACTAATTCCTGGTTTGCACTAGGAAGCAATTTATTCTTTTTCTATTATTCTTATTAGAAGTAATTTAGCTAGGCAAAATATTCATTCTTAATATGGTCCTTCAGAAAGAGAAAATATGACTGTTTTTTCATGATATTTTCAGTAGGAAGCATATTATGACTTTTATGCTGTGCATCAGGTATTGGTGGAGGAGAGATGGAGCTGAGGTGATGCTTGCTATATGTCAGTAGCAGAAGTTCAGATTTCACTGATAAAGGAACTGTAGTGTCAGCTAAATGGGCTTAGAGCAAGTTGGTTCAGGTCAAATGCACTGCAACCATCAGCAGTCTGAATCCCAAAGAAAGGGGAAAATAAAGCCTTAAAGCATCAGTAGCCTGTGGCTGAAGCACCTTTTCTCTAGTTTTAGTCTTTAACTGTAAGCACATGTATAGGAAACTGATGGATACAGAGGCTTCCCTGAACTTTATTATGGAATAGTGCAGGCTGAAGAAAAGCTTCTTCAAGTAGAAGAGAGGATTCTTCAAGTAGAACATGGCTCCTTTTTTCTAGAAGTTTTGCTGATTGAACACTCTTATTAGTTATACATGAATGAAACCTGAGAGTTAGTTTAATTTGGGGTTTTTCTAGATTTACATCATCACAGATAAAGAACAAACTGCATCCATTGTCCAACTTGTCCTTTAAATCTTTTATTGCAAAGTTCAATAGACAGCTTTCTGTATACATTAATTTTTGACTCTTGGAGAGAGTCTTGAACACTTGAAATTTCCTTGGAAGAGTGTCTGTGTTTCTGATTCTGATGAAAGAACCAAACTTCTCCCATCCCTAAGATTAAACAAGGATAGCTGAAAATAACTGCAAGGGTGTTAATTGTCCTTTGAGGATATACAGGGAGAGAGACTGAAAAAGAGCATTGAGAAATGGGAAGAATTAAGTTAGTTTCTGGAGTTGAACATATATTAAATATACTTGTATTTTGTTTTATTTCTTAAAACTTTTGGATTATCTATTTAATATGTTGGAACTACTGTATAACCACTTCTAGATTTTTTGGATCAAATGTGGTGAGGAAGAAATAATAAATACAAGGATGAAGGGATCTTTTAGGCAGAGGGAAGAGATGAAATTAGAGCCACTTGCTTGATGTTCATTTGTTTCTATTGTTCTTCCTTTCAGAAAGTGCTTGTATGCAGACATCAGGACAGTAAGTCCCATGTAAGTCAGATCTGGTTACAGTTCCTCATACTTGGCTTCAGTCTGTCAAATGTCCTTGACAGCTTTTAAAAACTTTAAATAATTGTGAAGGAAAATTGAACCATCAGCCATCAGTATGAAACAAGAGTTCTTCATTTTTACAGCATGTTTTGCTATAGGTTTTGGAACCATGTTTTTTATGTGTGCTTTGTTTGACTTATGCAGATATTCAACTGACTAAGGAAAATCCATACCACAACCTAGAAAAAAGTTTCCCTATTACAGTTTATTTTGCAATTGGCTTTCATAGATTTTTGTTGCAGGAAGCTCCTCCATGCAGCCTAGTTTAGATATCACATGCTTGCCATGTTTAGACAGCAAGGTTTAAGTTATTTAAGAGATGGGCAGTAGTGTAAATCTTCTGGCAGTGACCTGCTCTAGTATATTCTGTATATACTACGTATATACACATTTGCATGGTAATAACTCCTCTATTAATATCTGGGGAAATAAAAATTAAATCAGCATGAGATCTGTTTAAAAAAAGTAAGATTACTTCCTTCAAGGATCTTTCATCACTATTTTAACAGCTAGAGATACTATGCAAGATGTGGCTAGTATGTGTGGGAACAAAGGATATTTCATCTCTTACTGAAATCTTCTCTGCTTTGGTAACTCCAAAACTGAACAGGAGCTTTGTAGCTGCATTGTTTGATGATATTTCCATAACATTTGTGGCTGTCCAACTTTGTTGTGAAATGAAAGTCAGGGAATCTGACTGAATGCGTTG